TGACGAAACGCACCATAGACTTGGTGCGGAGAGCAGGCACGGGCCGTGCCGGACTGACGACGCACACCACTGGCTTGGTGCGGGAAGCTTGGATGGGCCGGACTGTACTGGGGACACACACCACTGGCCCTACACCGGGATCTGGAACGGGCCGGACCGGACTGGCAACACACGCCAGTACCTCTCGCCGTGCCTCTACTTCCTCCATCCCCTCTTCGACCAGTGGCCCCCGTAACCCGGCGGCCTTCTCCGGCAACCCACTGGGCCGCTCTATCGCGGCCTCCTGCTGGTCCGACGTCGTGAGCCCCCCCCTAAAAATTTTCGGGGCGTCTCTCCTACCCGTGGACCAGGTCTCCATGTCCCTCGCCAGCCTCTCGCCCTTCTGCCATAATGTCAAGCCCTTCTCTTCCTCACTCGGCTTGACCCAGTCCAGGAGGCGAAGGAGATCTGTGAGGGATCTCCCTGGCGATGGCTCCTGGACACGCTGCTTGGTCATATCTTGGTGGTTTCTTCTGTCACGATCGTCTAAGGATGAGGACCAATGCGCAGCGTTGAAGGCGAACATCTTTTATTATATAAATGATCACACGATCAAAATAACAAACGAAAACGTGACGTCTACAGTTTAACACAACCCAACTAGAACAAGAAACCACAAACACCACGTGAAAGACAGATAGTTAAATATGGCTCCCAATCAGAGACACCCAGCAGACACTCGTTGCCTCTGATTGGGAGTCACTCAGCCCAACATAGAAATATCAAACATAGAATTTCACACCCTGGCTCAACATAACATTGTCCCCAGAGCCAGGGCGTGACAGACGGAGCATTCATTAACCCGTATGGCATGACGAGATACTCGTAATGACCCGAGGTGGTGCTAAATGCTGTCTTCCATTCATCCCCCTCCCTAATGCGCACCAGATTGTACGCGCTCCTGAGATCCAACTTTGTGAAGAATCGCGCTCCGCGTAATGATTCCGTCATCGTCGCAATCAGTGGCAGTGGGTAGCTGTATTTAACTGTGATCTGATTGAGACTACGATAATCAATACACGGGCGCAATCCCCCGTCCTTCTTCTTCACAAAGAAGAAACTCGAGGAGACTGGGGAAGTAGAGGGCCGTATGTATCCCTGTGCCAAGGACTCGGCTATGTATGTCTCCATAGCCGCTGTCTCCTCTTGAGACAGGGGATACACATGACTCCGAGGAAGAGCCGCTCCTGTTTGGAGATTTATCGCACAGTCCCCCTGTCTATGAGGAGGTAGCCGTGCTGCCCTCGATTTGCTAAACACGAGTGCTAAATCCTCATACTCGGGGGAAATGCGCAGTGCGGGCCCTTGGTTCGGACTCTCTACCGAGGTCGCCCCTACGGAAACACCTAGACATCTCCCTACACACTGAGCAGACCACTCCATAAGAGCCCTCTGTTGCCACGCTATAGTAGGATCATGGGTGCTCAACCAGGGAAGGCCCAACACCACGGGATACGCAGGAGAGTCAATCAGATAAAACTGAATGCTCTCCTCATGACCCCCCTGCGTCGTCATAGTCAGTGGTGCTGTGACCTCCCTGATTAGGCCCGACCCCAACGGCCGGCTGTCTAGTGCGTGGACAGGAAATGGATTGTCTACCGGCCGAAGGGGAATCCTTAACCTACTACAAAATGCCCGATCAATAAAGTTCCCAGCTGCGCCTGAATCTACTAGCGCCTTATGCTGGGAATGAGGTGCCACCTGTGGAAACCTCACAGGAATGCTCATGTGACCAACAGAGAGCTCTGGGTGAGTGGAGCGTCTACTCACCTGAAATGACTCCCCAGTGCGGGGCCTGTTGTCACCTCTCCCAGGAGACCCTCCCCAGCACCTGGCCGCAGTGTGTCCTCCACGACCGCAGGTGGTGCAGTGGATGGCCCCCCTCGGGTTCCCTCTCCTCCTCTCTCTAGCGCCAGCACCCCCTAGCTCCATGGGAATCGGCTCGGGGGCGCTGGAGGGTGGACTGGACGACCCCCACTCGGGACGTCCGCGGGTAGCCAGCAGGGTATCCAGACGGATGGAAACGTCCACCAACTGGTCAAACGACAGGTTGGTGTCCCTGCAGGCCAGCTCCCTACGAACGTCCTCGCGTAGACTACATCGGTACTGGTCGATGAGGGCCCTCTCATTCCACCCCGCATCCGCCGCTAGTGTCCGGAACTCCAGTGAGAACTCCTGTGCGCTCCTCCTCCCCTGTCGGAGGTGGAATAGACGCTCTCCCCGCCGCTCTCCCCCTCAGGGGGATGATCGAAAACAGTCCTGAAGCGGCGAGAGAACTCCGCGTAGGTGATGGTAGCGGCGTCTATTCCCCTCCATTCGGCGTTGGCCCATTCCAACGCTTTGCCGGAGAGACAGGAGATGAGGGCGGAGACGCTCTCGTATCCCGAGGGCGCCGGGTGTATAGTGGCAAGGTACAGTTCTACCTGCAGAAGGAATCCCTGACACCCGGCTGCAGAACCGTCATATGCCCTCGGGAGTGAGAGCCGAATGCCACTGGGTTCCGGTACTGAGAGAGGAGGACTGGCCGTTGGTGATGCGATGTTGTAAGGGTCCTCAGAGTTCACCAAACGGCGCAGGGTGTTGGACACCTTGTCCATAGTGGTCCCGAGTTGCTGGATCATGGCGTCCTGGAAATTGATCCGGTCCAGCAGGGATTCGGGAGACGCCGCTGATCCTGCTGACTCCATGATGGTGTGTTGTTCTGTCATGAGCCGTCGTGGATGTGGTGGAGGAGTCAAGTGCAGGAAGCAGAGGTTAGTCCAACAAGACTTTTAATAGTGTCCAAAGTAAGTGTACAAGCCCCGACCTAGAAAACACGAAGAGGCGAGGAACATTACGCACACGCGTAAAACACTTCAACAAGGCAAAATAGACACGGAAAAATAAACACATATCAAACAACGTGGCAACGGACAACAACACACAAAACCCCTAGATTACAACATGGAACTTATAAGACACGTAATCAACACTAAAACAAACACAGGTGTGACAGACAGACAAAAGCAATGGAACACAGAAACATAGAGCGGTGGCAGCTAGTACTCCGGGGACGGCGAACGCCGAAGCCTGCCCGAACCAGGAGGAGGAGCAGCCTCGGCCGAAACCGTGACAGACAGGACACTGAGAAGGGCTGACAGACAGGCTGGAGGTGGGCGGCTCAGTAGGGCACTCCTTGAGAGAAGACACCAATATACAATTATTTCATACACACACACTTAATAATCAGATTTATACACACATACACACTGACATAAACACATACTCAGACTCTCTCACCCGCACGTGCACACACACACACACCATCATATACAAATCCAGACTAATACGATCATATGAGCAGATATACAGAATATATTTATCTTTCTCTCTCTTTTTCCCATGAGGGAATTTACATACACTCAAATTCTATCACATACAGACATCATCTCACATACACACCACCTAGACATGATCTTCTACAATAGGGAGTTTGATAGATGAGATGTGGAAGGATCAGAGGAGAGGAACATTAGGGAGAGTGGCACATGCCAGGCCAAAATACGAGAGATGACAAAGAGAGGGAGGGAGGAGGATAATATTAATTTAATCCAGGATGGAGGGATGGAGGAGGCTTGCACATGTGCATCCAAAGGCTATTGTGATACTGAGTAATTTGGCAGGATCGGTGAGAGCAGGGGAGACAACATTGCTAGGTTACCTTTCATTATCGAAACAATTAAGAATACATTTCAGAGACTTTATAATTTTGAGACAATGCCAGAATACCAGAAGAGGGTGAGGAAATGTGTGTGATTGTCTATTGTCATTCTGTGTGTGGTCCTTTTTTGTATGATACCAAATGGTATCACCTTGGTTTATCACGAGTACCTAGCCCTATGTTCTGAATTGGTCTTGTGACACAGGCACATGCACACATACTAACATGCATACACAAGCATGATCATACTCTCAAACATACACATCCAACCTTTCAGATGACACTTGCATCACTCAGACACACATCCCATACAGGCAACAGGATCAATGAGAGAGAGAGAGAGAGAGAGAGAGAGAGAGAGAGAGAGAGAGAGGAGAGAGAGAGAGAGAGAGAGAGAGAGAGGAGAGAGAGAGAGAGAGAGAGAGAGAGAGGAGAGAGAGAGAGAGAGAGAGAGAGAGAAGAGAGAGAGAGAGAGAGAGAGAGAGAGAGAGAGAGAGAGAGAGAGAGAGAGAGAGAGAGAGGAGAGAGATGAGAGTAGAGAGAGGAGAGAGAGAGAGAGAGAGAGAGAGAGAGAGAGAGAGAGTGTCACGGTTTCGGCCGAGGCTGCTCCTCCTCCTTGTTCGGGCAGGTTTCGGCGGTCGTCGTCCCCGGAGTACTAGCTATCACCGTTTGATGTTTTCGATGTCTGTTTGGTTTTGTCTGATTGTGTACACCTGTTTCCTGTTTGGTTGATTATGTCTCCTATAAGTTTCTCGTTTGGTTAGTCTTGTGTTGTGTGTTATTGTCCGCCTGTCGGTAGGAGCTGCGTGTTTCTGCTCTGTTTATTTTGTTTGCGTAATCGCTCGCCTCTGTTTGTTCGAGGCCCGTGTTTTGTATTTGATCACTTGATGACTAGTAAAGTCTGTTGGACTAAGCCTCTGTGTCCTCCGCCTGACTCTCACACCACATCCACATCAGTTCCTGACAGAGTCTGTTTATGTCTGTCTTAAACTGAACAAAAATATAAACGCTACATGTAAAGTGTTGGTTCCCATGTTTCACGAGCTTGAATAAAAGATCCCAGAACTGTTACATACACACAAAAAGCTTATTTCTCTCAAATTCTGTGCAATTTTTTTTTTACATCCCTATTAGTGAGCATTTCTCCTTTACCAAGATAATCCATCCACCGTGTAGTTCTGCTACAGCCTCCGGTTGCCATGGAGGTCGTTATAGCAACAAATGCTGTAGCTCTGCAGCAGCCTAGGGGGCATGAGTTTCTATGAATACCCTCCTTCTGTACTATGCCCTCCTACCTGCCCATGCTTACTGTACCACTCTGCCTCTTTAAGCCCTGATAGGCTGCTAAGTCCATTATTATTCCTCCTGCAAAGAGCCTAGTGTGCCTCGGCAACAAAACACACCTGGTGACCCACTTTCTCAGTGTGTGTGTGTGTGTGTGTGTGTGTGTGTGTGTGTGTGTGTGTGTGTGTGTGTGTGTGTGTGTGTGTGTGTTTGTGTGTGTTTGTGTGTGTGTGTGTCTGTCACAGATTGGAGAATCACTCAATCACTCAGGCTGTCATTCAACCTGTCATACTGTATAATTCTGACGTCAGCAGAACTTCACGATCTAGGCCTTGAAGGTGCAGTTGTATATTCCTACATTGATTTTGATAGATGACAATGCTGGTTTGAAAGACTGCTTTTTCAATGTGCAGAGGCAATGGAAACAACAGCACGCTCAGTAAGTAGTTTTTTGCTATTAGAAATCCCTGTAAATTGTATACTGACCAAAAATATAAACGCAACATGCAACAAGTTACAGTTCATATAAGGAAATCAGTCAATTGAAATAAATTCATCAGGCCCTAAACTATGGATTTCACATGACTGGGAATATAGATATGCATCTGTTGGTCACAGATACCTTTTAAAAAAAGTAGGGGCGTGGATCAGAAAACCAGACAGTATCTGGTGTGACCACCATTTGCCTCATGCAGCGCGACACATGTCCTTCGCATAGTTGATAAGGCTGTTGATTGTGGTCTGTGGAATGTTGTCCCACTCCTCATCAATGGCTGTGCGAAGCTTCTAGATATTGGTGGGAACTGGAACACGCTGTCGTACACGTCGATCCAGAGCATCCCAAACATGCTCAATGGGTGACATGTCTGGTGAGTATGCAGGCCATGGAAGAACTGGGACATTTTCTGCTTCCAGGAATTGTGTACAGATCCTTGCTACATGGGGCAGTTCATTATCATGCTGAAACATGAGGTGATGGCGGCAGATGAATGGCACGACAATGGACCTCAGGATCTCGTCACGGTATCTCTATGCATTCAAATTGCCATCAATAAAATGCAATTGTGTTCGATGTCCATAGCTTATGCCTGCCCATACCATAACCCCACCGCCACCATGGGGCATTATTTTCACAACGTTGACCACAGGAGGTTGGTGGCACCTTAATTGGGGAGGACTGGCTTGTGGTATTGGCTGGAGCGGAATAGGTGGAATGGTATAAAATACATCAAACACATGGTTTCCAGGTGTTTGATGCCATTCCATTTGCTCCGTTCTGGCCGTTATTATGAGTCCTTCTCCCATCAGCAGCCTTCTGTGACGTTGACATCAGCAAACCACTCGCCCACACGACGCCATACACATGGTCTGCGGTTCTCAGGCAGGTTGGACGAGGCTGCTTATGGTAAAGAAATGAACAACAGCTCTGGTGGACATTCCTGCAATCATGCCAATTGCACGCTCTCTCAAAACCTGAGACATCTGTGGCATTGTGTTGTGTGACAAAACTGCACATTTTAGAGTGGCCTTTTATTGTCCCCAGCACAAGATGCACCAGTGTAATGATCATGCTGTTTAATCAGCTTCTTGATATGCCACACCTGTCAGGTGGATGGATTATGTTGGCAAAGGAGAAATGGTCACTAACAGGAATGTAAACAAATTTGTGCACAAAACTTGAAAGAAGTAAGCTTTTTGTGGATGTGGAAAATATCTGGGATCTTTTATTTCAGCTCATGAAACATGGGACCAACGCTTTACATGTTGGTTTATATTTTTTTGATCAGTGTACATAGTAAAAGTAAGTCTGCCACTGACTGGTGCGTCTACATGTCGTCTTGTTATCTCCAAGCAGCCTCTTTTGTCATGGCACCTGGGGGATAATGTCTCACGCACACTCCATACGAATCATGAAAACCATGATTCAGTATATGCTGTCAGAGGATGTGAGCAATAGAGTGTGTCGTCTAACGTATGTCTCTTTTTCTGCCCTCTCTCTTTCCATTTAGCTGGGGATAAGTGTCCGGACCACATAGACTGTGCCCGCGCGGGGCGGCACTTCTGCAAACCTGGCACATCCTACTGCGGTCCATGTCTCAATCCATTGGACGAGAACGAGGAAGGATTGTGTGTGGCAAGGAAGAGGCGCCATCACTATGGTATGTAGGTCTGGCCATTACACAGTCCACACACATTATGCACACACAAATGGCCCCGCAATCTCCATTATAATCAAGGTGATTTGGTTCATTTATGACAGATGTTATTGAATGTATTTGATGAAGCTACTTCAACAGATAGGGATTCAAGTTTAAAAAGGAGAGTTCTGCACAGGGTATTTTTCTATGTGCAGTGGACATCAATCATCTTCCCTGCCCTGGTTGTGGTTGCATCCCAAATGGCACCCTTTTCCCTACATAATGCACTACTTTTGACCACAGCCCTATGTAGTGCACTATGTAGGGAATAGAGTGCCATTTGGGACACAAGCCTGTGTCAAGCGACAGATCTCTAAGCATCCAGACATGGCTAAGGGGCTTTGGTCAAACACAGTCAAACTAAGTGGTTAATGAGCTAATGCAGAGATGCTGCTGTTTAATCGGAAGCCCTGCAGTGTGTGTGTGTGTGTGTGTGTGTGTGTGTGTGTGTGTGTGTGTGTGTGTGTGTGTGTGTGTGTGCCTTTGTTCGCGTTGCAGCCATGAGTAACTGCTTTAAGAGTGGGTATAGTGAGCCACACAGTGACACAGACTGTGTACACCACTGGCCGCAGAGAAAAAGACAGGAAACCCTCACTCCTCCTCTTTCTCCTCCTCCTTCCTCGCTCTCTCAGCCCCCTCCTTGCTTACCACATTCACTCTCAATCTGCCTCTTCCTCTCATTCAATGCTCCTCTTTCCTTTACTCTTTTGCCCTTCCTATCCATTCCTCTCCCCCTTCTCCCTATCGATCTCTCATTCCTCTCTCTCCCTTGATCTCTCCATCCCTCTCTCTTTCACTCTGCATCGATCTGGCCTTATTTCTCCCTCTCTCTGTGTGCTATAGTCTAATCCCCCCCCCGCTGTCCACACCCAGCTAACAACAAACATTCCCACAACTTTAGAGAATGTTCTCTTAAGTCTCATTAGGTCATTAACGTTTTCGTAGGAATGTTCCAAGAGACCATTCCCTTAATGTCAAATAGAACTTACACAGAACGGTTGACATGGTTGGCATGTTCTCAGAACATAAGATATTAATGTTCTAGATATGTTCCATGGGAACGTTGCAAAAACATTCATGTGTCCAGTTTTCTGTGGGTTAAGAGAATATTCCATCAACATCCCACCAAACATACACAGAACATGGTTGCCATGTTTTCAGAACATAAGATAATGTTCTAGACATGTTTGATGGGAACATAGCAGGAATATTTCTGTGTATCAGTTGTCAGGACGTTGCCTGATGGTCCCCCCAAAATCACTGTTGCCGAGCCAATCAAGGCCCTGATCTGTGAACCACTGATACATTCATAGCTCTTTGTCTGTTGGCAAGGTTAGGGATACTCACACACACAGTGCTTTTAATTTACATATTTGACTCACTTTGATATAGATGATTACATTGTGCATGTTGATTTATACAGCAATTATTATTCATGTTCCTCATCTATGATTTGAACTCACAACCTCTTGGTTCACGGTACTCCGATCTTCCTGCTACACCTCCATGTCTGTGTCAAATATGAGTTAATCTGACTATTCTCTAATCATTGGTTTTATTTACTTATTTCAGCAATTTTTCTGTATAGCTTCTGTATAGTGGGACATGTTAACCTGTTTTAATGATACTCCTGAATCACTATGATCAAAACAAAAACATTTTTGAGTGTACTTTTAACAGAGCTGAGATTGACTTCAAAGTGCATTCACCCTATAGCTTTCAACTATCAAGTTGTTTCAGATCTACAAGTGCCTAGGGAGGAGGGGTTAGGGTTTATTCTGGACAGGGCCTAATTATACGGGCCCAATAAGCACATCCTCTAGAGATATTCCTTATTGGGACAGTGGTTAGGGCGTTCATCATTGGTGCTGGCGGCCTGGGTTCTAGACTCGATAGGGGAATCACCCTATTCTCACATTCTTAGCAGTATATGTAAATGTCATTATTTGGCAGAGGTTACAAAACACCTATCTAATTAAAATGAGTTTCTCATTGAAAGATGGGAATCTGTAGGAACTTTTATTGATCATAGTGATTCAGAAGTATTATTAAAACAGGTTAACATGCCCCACCAACATTAGTGAACTATACTGAAAGCCCTTAAATTGCTGAAAGAAGTCAATCAAATCAATGATGAGAATAGTCAGATTAACCGATACATGACACAGACATGGTGCCGTAGCAGGAAGATAGGCGTACCGTGAACCAAGAGGTTTTGAGTTCAAATCCCAGATGAGGACTGTTGAATAATAATTACTGTATAAATTAACATACACAATGTAATCATGCACATCAAAGTGTGTCAAATATGTAAATTGTAAAACTGTGTGTTTGAGTATCCCTAACCAGGGATCAGGGCCTTGATTGGCTCTGCAACGTTGTGGAGAACGTTTCTTTGGGACCATCAGCAACGTCCTGACAACTGATTCACAGAAATGTTCTTGCAACATTCCCATGAAATGTGTCAATAACATTAATGTCTTATGTTCTAAGAACATGGCAACCATATTCTGTGTATGTTTAGTGGGACGTTGATGGAATATTATCCTTTCCCACAGAAAACTGGATGCATGAATGTTCTTGCAATGTTCTCATGAAACTTGTCTAGAACATTAATACCTTATGTTCTGAAAACATGGCAACCATGTTCTGTATATGTTTGGTGGGACATTGATGGAATATTTTTCCAACCATCGTGAAATTGGACACGAGGGTTCTTGCAACGTTCCAATGAAACGTGTCTAGAACATTAATATTGTATAATCTGAGAACATGGTAACCACGTTCTGGGTATGTTCTGTTTGACATGAAGGGAATGTTCTCCTAACACTAATGCTAAAACATGCTAAAAAGGTTCTCAGAAGGTTCCTGCTAACATAGATAGAATGTCCCCTAACTAACGGTAAACTGGACACTCAAACATTAGAGGAACATTGCGGGTAACATTACAAAAACGTTCTCTCTCCCTAGAATTGTTAGCTGGGCAGACACATGCAACCCCCGCACATGACCACCGCCTTTAATCACCCAGAGTACTGCATGTATCTCTCTCTCCTCCATCTCTCTCTCTCTCTCCCTCTCCCTCTGTCCCCCTATCTCTCCCTTCCATCTCTCTCCCTCTCTCTCTGTCACACTCTCTCTCTCTCTGTGTGTGTATGTAGTGTGAGGGCCAGGTTGGCCTTCGGGTTGTTGTGTGTTGGTGTGGTGCTGTGGTGTGGTGCTGTGGTGTGGTGTTGTGGTGTGGTGCTGTGGTGTGGTGTTGTGGTGCTGTGGTGGTGTGGTGTTGAGGTATGGTGTGTTGTGAGTGCTACAGACCACTGAGCTAGGTTAAGCCTCTTACATAATCCTGAGAGGGTGAGGGCCGGCTCGAACAGACTGACCCTGTAGGTGTAGGCAACCTAGCTCATCGTAACAGCGCCTATGTACAGGATTAGGTGTACTTCAATGGAGATTTACTCCAAATCAAAGCCTTACCTTTTACGTGCTAAACATATTTGTTCTTATTTTTAGCATCATTTTATGTCTTATTTCCATAGGACATATCCATTGAGGCAGGTTATGGATGTTTTTTCCAGTACGGATATAGACATGCGTGTTGTACACGGAGAGATAAACCCATCCAGACACAGTGGGACCAGAGATGGGCTTACTTGGGACCTAGAGAAGTAGAAACTGATACATTATTCAATCTGGCAGCCCGGATGTCTTAGACTATGCATGAGAGAGCAGCAGGATGAAAAGAGGAAGCAAACACACTCCACAGCAACATGTAATACACACATTTACACAAACACACTCCACAGCAACATGTAATACACACATTTACACAAACACACTCCACAGCAACATGTAATACACACATTTACACAAACACACTCCACAGCAACATGTAATACACACATTTACACAAACACACTCCACAGCAACATGTAATACACACATTTACACAAACACACACTCATACATAAGCATACTTCGTCTTGTTTTCTTTTTCACAAGCACACACACACACTGATACACAGATATGTGAGTGTAGGTGCCATGCTTTGTATGTTGGTAGGTACAATATGTATACTCTCAGAAAGGGAAGAGTAGTACTGTTATTCATTGGTTTTACAGTGGGCGCCATGATGGCCTGAGGAGCAGAGATGAGAGGGTAGGTAACTTCCAGTAGCTAGGTGAGTACAGTTAGTGAACAGTACTCTTTGTGTGTGTAGGACAAGCCTGTGTTTGACATCAAGGCGTACACTCCCATAGGTAAACACTCCTTGCCTTGGAGCCTGGGCTTTGTCTGGTAATAAGGCTGACAAACAGTCCGGAGAACTGGATATATATACACAATATGTACTGATGGCAGAGCTGTACCCAGAAACAGGAAATGTGTATATATATGTGTGTGTGTGTGTGTGTGTGTGTGTGTGTGTGTGTGTGTGTGTGTGTGTGTGTGTGTGTGTGTGTGTGTGTGTGTGTGTGTGTGTGTGTGTGTGTGTGTGACTGTATGTGTATTGACTGCGTCACTTCCCGTCCATCTACACTACCGTTCCAAAGTTTGGGGTCACTTAGAAATGTCCTTATTTTCGAAAGAAAAGCAAATTTTGTTTTTCATTAAAATAACATCAAATTCATCAGAAAAACTGTGTAGACATTGTTAATGTTGTAAATGGCTATTGTAGCTGGAAACGGCTGATTTTTTATGGAATATCTACATAGGCATACAGAGGCCCATTATCAGCAACCATCAGTCCTGTGTTCCAATGGCACGTTGTGTTTGCTAATCCAAGTTTATCATTTTAAAAGGCTAATTGATCATTAGAAAAGCCTTTTGCAATTATGTTAGCACAGCTGAAAACTGTTGTGCTGATTAAAGAAGCAATAAAACTGTCCTTCTTGAGACTAATTGAGTATCTGGAGCATCAGCAATTGTGGGTTCGATTACAGGATCAAAATGGCCAGAAACAAAGAACTTTCTTCTGAAACTCGTCAGTCTATTCTTGTTCTGAGAAATGAAGGCTATTCCATGCGAGAAATTGCCAAGAAACTGAAGATCTCGTACAACGCTGTGTACTACTCCCTTCACAGAACAGCGCAAACTGGCTCTAACCAGAATAGAAAGAGGAGTGGGAGGCCCCGGTGCACAACTGAGCAAGAGGACAAATACATTAGAGTGTCTAGTTTGAGAAACAGGTGCCTCACAGGTCCTCAACTGGCAGCTTCATTAAATAGGACCCGCAAAACACCAGTCTCAACGTCAACAGTGAAGAGGCAACTCCGGGATGCTGACCTTCTAGGCAGAGTTGCAAAGAAAAAGCCATATCTCAGACTGGCCAATAAAAATAAAAGATTAAGATGGGCAAAAGAACACAGACACTGGACAGAGGAAGATTGGAAAAAAGTGTTATGGACAGACAAATCGAAGTTTGAGGTGTTCGGATCACAAAGAAGAACATTTGTAAGACGCAGACCAAATGAAAAGATGCTGGAGGAGTGCTTGATGCCATCTGTCAAGCATGGTGGAGGCAATGTGATGGTCTGGGGGTGCTTTGGTGGTGGTAAAGTGGGATATTTGTACAGGGTAAAAGGGATCTTGAAGAAGGAAGGCTAGCACTCCATTTCGCAACACCATGCCATACCCTGTGGACGGCGCTTGATTGGAGTCAATATCCTCCTACAACAGGACAATGACCCAAAGCACAGCTCCAAACTATGCAATAACTATTTAGGGAAGAAGCAGTCAGCTGGTATTCTGTCTATAATGGAGTGGCCAGCACAGTCACCGGATCTCAACCCTATTGAGCTGTTGTGGGAGCAGCTTGACCGTATGGTACATAAGAAGTGCCCATCAAGCCAATCCAACTTGTGGGAGGTGCTTCAGGAAGCATGGGGTGAAATCTCTTCAGATTACCTCAACAAATTGACAACTAGAATGCCAAAGGTCTGCAAGGCTGTAATTGCTGCAAATGGAGGATTCTTTAACGAAAGCAAAGTTTGAAGGACACAATTATTATTTCAATTAAAAATCATTATTTCTAACCTTGTCAATGACTACATTTCCTATTCATTTTGCTATATTTCCTATTCAAACTCATTTCATGTATGTTTTCATGGAACACAAGGACATTTCTAAGTGACCCCAAACTTTTGAACGGTAGTGTAGGTAATTCCACCTTGGTCATCAACAGCATCTAAAGCTGTGGTCAGGCTGACCCCTCCATAGACCTATAGGCTAATAATAAGTTAGGACATTGGGAACAGGGAGACCCTAGAGATGAGGAGAGATGGGGAGCGGGGAGGGATGACGCACAGAGGGCTAACCTAACAGAGCCTGATGAGAGCTGTTGACGAGTTATTAGGAATCAGGCATGTTATTGAATGTCATGTTAGTATGACAAGGTGATTCCTTGTGGCAGTCTGACTATGTTAGTCATGATGGGAAATGTAGTCAATGGGCACTCAAAGAAACAAATAGTTAAGTCTGTGATCTTTTTTAAACATTTTATATTCCCAGTATGGTGTTTGGGTTAGAGGGATGAATATATAACTTGAAAAGTAGTGTTATGCTGTGTTTTTCACATATGTCCATGGTTTTGCGTAGCTACTGCAAGTGTAAACATGGAGAGAGAGAAATGTGTTGTTGCAGTGTTGAGGATGGGATAGTATGGATGTTGACCAAGTACCTCTGACCGGAATATAGACTCGGGCCAGCAAGCTTTGCCATATGTGGTCAAGAGGAAGCCATAGCTACTAACATTCTAGAGCATGTTCTTGCCCATATAACCTAGTGCACCATATTGGAGGGCCTATTGAAAATACTTACCAGTGCATTGTTCACATCGCCACAAGAGGGCAGCAGTAGTCCCTAAGAATGACCCCCCCTGAGAAATAGAAGTCAGTGAGATCAACTGTAAAATTGGAAGCCATGTAGTCATCCGGTAATCTATACTGTTTGGTCATGTGTGAGTCTGAATTCAACTATTAGGCCAGATATTATTCTGATTCAACCTGGTAAACAATTAGAAAAAGTGTCAGTAAGTTTAATTTACCTATTCGGTCGATAGCCTAGCGGTTAAGAGTGTTGGGTCAGTAACCAAAATGTTGTTGGTTCAAATCCCTGAGGCGACTAGGTAAAACATCTGTTGATGTGCCCTTGAGCAAGACACTTAACCCTAATTGCTCCTGTAAGTTGCTCTGGATAAGAACATTTGCTAAATGACTATAATGTAGATACTTTCACTCAGTGTTCCCTTAAAGACCCTTTCACAAACAAAGCAGGGCAGCCCCTTTGACTGGAAATACAAATGACAGTGTGTGTCTTTATGTTGTAATGAGAAATGATCAGTAACTGATTGTGTTGTCCTGGTGTAGCCAGGGTGGGGAATGGGAGATTACAAATGGGCTGTAAGTGGAATAAGAGAACCTCACAGATGGGTGTGAGTCTGATTCACTGTTTACTTGTTTAGTGTTTGTTTGCAGTAACTTATCGGGGGGGTTAGGGGTAATTATCAAGTTGGTGCCAAAACCTGCTCTCCGACGCAGGGAGAGGTGCATGCTTAGTCAGTGTGTGAGGTTCTACTGAGACGTCCATTTCCCCATTCTTGCTGTCTCTATGTACTATACACTCTCACTCAGACAAAAAACATACAAATACCCTTATGCTCCCTTTTCTGTGGTTCATGCTCACTGATTCTTGTATGTACCCTCTCACTCATGTACTCATACCAACACAATATCTCAGGAAAGTTCTCATTTTCTTTCTTATTTTATCATTTTCGTCAAACTTTGCAGTTGGCTAACGAAGTAGGGTAGAAATAGTGCTCTTGCTGAGTAAACTGGCACACTTGGAGCCCTCCACCACCTACAAAGTCCAGATGGCATGACCCGCCCCCACTGACACCTGCTGTGGAGCACACTAAATGTCCAGTGATAGAGGGGAGTGAGAAAGTAACCAAGCACAGAGTGAAAGTGCTGCCACATCATATCACGCACATTACCACCGCCAGATGGCCACCCTTCTGGAGAGGACAACGCCTTAATCATTAATAAGACAGAGCTCACGCTAATACAAACACAGTCAGACAGCACTAAGCATATTCAGCAAAGTGGCTCAGGCGGTGATATGGCTCATGATGTCTCACTACAGTAATTCAATATTAAATCTCAATCTTATTTAGCTCATCATGTAAACAGTGTACCCTGGTCTTTTGGAGGAACCTGCTGCTTTTCAACTGTAACACCAGTGTTACACTTGTGTATACACCCTTATGTTATACTAGGGAAATTAATGTTTCCATAGCTAGGACTGACAGTGTGGACTTGTGAAGAGCAGAATCAGCAACTCCTCCAGCAACTCCTGTACTCCCTGTTCACTCATGACTGCATGGCCAGGCATGGCTCCAACACTATCATTAAGTTTGCCGATGACACAACAGTGGTAGGCCTGATCACATACAACGACGAGACAGCCTATAGGGAGGAGGTCAGAGACCTGGCTGTGTGGTGCCAGGACAACAACCTCTCCCTCAAAGTGATCAAGACAAAGGAGATGATTGTGGACTACAGGAAAAAGAAGAGGACCGAGCATGCCCCCAATCTCATTGACGGGGCTGTAGTACAGCAGGTTGAGAGCTTCTAGTTTGTTGGTGTCCACATCACCAACAAACTAAAATGGTCCAAGCACACCAAGACAGTCGTGAAGAGTGCACGACAAAACCTATTCCCCCTAAGGAGACTGAAAATATTTGGCATGGGTCCTCAGATCCTCAAAAGGTTCTACAGCTGCACCATCTAGAGCATTCTGACTGGTTGCATCACTGCCTGGTTGCATCACTGCCTGGTATGGCAACTGCTCGGCCTCCGACCGCAAGGCACTACAGAGGGTAGTGCGTACGGCCCAGTACATCACTGGAGCCAAGTTTCCTGCCATCCAGGACCTCTATACCAGGCGGTGTCAGAGGAAAGCCCTAAAAATTGTCAAAGACTCCAGCCACCCTAGTCATATACTTTTCTCTCTGGGTCCAAGAGGCTTCTAAACAGCTTCTACCCCCAAGCCATAAGACTCCTGAACATCTAATCAAATGGCTACCCAAACTATTTGACTACTTTTACGCTGCTGCTACTCTCTGTTTATTATCTATGCATAGTCACTGTAATAACTCTACCTACATGTACATATTACCTCAATTACCTCGACTAACCGGTGCCCCCGCACATTGACTCGGTACCGGTACCTCCTGCATATAGCCTCGCTATTGTTATTTTTTACTGCTGCTCTTTAATCATTTGTTACTTTTATTTCATATTATTTTATATTGTATTTTGTGTGATTTTTTGGTATTCTTTCTTAAAACTGCATTGTTGGTTAAGGGCTTGTAAGTGAGCATTTCACTGTAAGGTCTACACCTGTTGTATTCGGCGCATGTGACAAAAATTTGATTTGATTTAATCAAAACAGTTGCTTTGTGAGATGGTGTTAAAGTTCACAGTTAGCCATTGTTATGTAAATGTCAGCTGAAATGTACCAGTGGCCTGGCTTTGGCCCCAAGTGAGAGCAGGTCTGCCGGAGCCATGGCCCAGTCAGCCATGGGTGCCGGTCTGCGTAGATGGAAACAGAAAAGTCTGAGCCTTTTGGGTTAAACACTGGGGTAAATCCTGTATGGAAATGCACCACAATGGAGTGGGTGAGATTAGCCATTTATTTCACCATTAGCACTCAGCTGAGTGAGATTTAGGGCCTTGTGTGTGAGAGGGAGTAGGGCCGAATCAGGGGGGCGGGGTGATCGCACAAGCCCCCCTGCCGTGCTCCATCCCCTGGCCACACACACACTACGTACCCAAGTAACCAGGGAGCGCTGTGGCCCAGTCCTGGAATGTGGCCTGCTGTCTGGCCAACAGAGCTGTTAAACAACACCCTGGCTTTGTCTCCTTTTCACTGCGTCCCAAACAAACAACACACACTGGCACACTCTCTGTCCATCATACACACAAACAAACACTCACTGGCTCTCACTCTCTCGTGGGTTCCTTCATGCACCTGCAGTCACACAACAACACACAGGCTTACATCTTCTGACACACAGGATATCCTGTTCTAAATCATGCTCTTTCACAAACCCACTCTGTTCTCAGCTATATAATAATAATAATATGCCATTTAGCAGACGCTTTTATCCAAAGCGACTTACAGTCATGGTTACCAATTCACAAATGTAGAAGCACAATACATATGTATTCTAGTGGTTAGTGTTGGGCCAGTAACCGAAAGGTCGCTGCTTGGAATACCTGAGCCAGCAAGGTGAAAAATCTGTCAATGTGCCATTGAGCAAGGCACTTAACCCTAATTTGCTCCAGGTGCGCTGTACTACTATGGCTGACCCTGTAAAACAACACATTTCACTGCACCTATCTGGTGTATGTGACAATAAAACATATTTATATCCTGAATGAAGGTATTATGTTCACACAGACTCACAGTTATATTTTCCCCTGTCTTTCTCCTCAGGTAAAATGACTTCCTTCTCTGCTCTAGATGAAGAAATTGACTTCCTTCACTCTGTCATTGCCAAACAGGAAGTGTCGGAGGTCAAACAACCAAAACAATCAGGTGAGCCTTACATTCTGTTGTCACGGTCGTTGATGAACGGGTCAGACCAAGGCGCAGCGTGAAATGCATACATGTTTATTGAACTGAATAAACATACAAAAAAACAACAGGCAACGAAACATGGCGTCGGAAGGCTATACACTAACAAGCCCAATCTCACCGAACACAAACAAGATCCCACAACACAGGCAGGAAAACTGGCTGCCTAAGTATGATCCCCAATCAGAGACAACGAGCGACAGCTGCCTCTGATTGGGAATTACACCCGGCCAAACATAGAAATGCAAACATAGAATGTCACCATAGAAAACACACACATGATATACACACCCTGACCAAACTAACTAGAGTTCTATAGGTCAGGGCGTGACATCTGTATGCATTTCTATGCATTTTTTGGATGTTTCAGTTACTTTTCTATAGATGCGTGTCGCTATATCTAAAACGTTATCTACACCACAATAATATGAATGTCTCTGTCTCTCTCTTTCACTCTCTTTTGCTCTCTCTCTCGCTCTCTCTTGCTCTCGCTCGCTCTCTCGCTCTCTCACTCTCTCACTCTCTCGCTCTTAATCTTTCAATCTCTCTCTCTCTCTTAATCTTTCAATCTCTCTCTTTCTCTCCCAGAAACCCGTTCCAAGGGAGCTAGGACTCAGACGGAGGCTCTCAGAATGAGAGGCCAGGTCCAACCCTCTGTGGGGCAGCCCACCACCACCCAGCCCTCCACCCAGACCCCCCAGCCTGCCACTGGGGCTCTGGGGAGGGTTGGAGCGGGAGGACCTGATGGCCTCATAGCCATCCCATACCCCTCCAAGGACAGTCTCCTCGTCAGTAAGTGGCTTTATGAGTTGAAAATAGAGACACGTTTATGACGTAAGACCAGCATGGAGCACCCAGGCCAGCTCTACTAAACCGCCTTAGTATGATGCAAATATACAAAACTATTTATAAAGGATTGAAAGTGATTTGATTTCATCTGCAGTTACACACAATTTCATAATTTCTCCTCCTTTTATGTGTAATTTGTGTTCACTCTATCCTTTTCTCTGTTTGTGTCCACCTCTGCAGTTATGATCTCTGTGTGTGTCATCGTTGGCGCCACGGCCTTGATCTTGGCTACTGTTTTCTGGGTCAGGTAAGACATCAGATAAGGGCCTCCCGAGTGGCGCAGCGCTCTAAGGCACTGCAGTGCTTGAGGCGTTAGGGGAGGGTTTGGCCGGCTGGGATGTCCTTGTCCCATCGCGCTCTAGCAACTCCTGTGGCGGGCCGGGCGCATGCACGCTGACACGGTCGCCAGTTGTACGGTGTTTCCTCCGACACGTTGGTGCGGCTGGCTTCCAGGTTAAACGAGCAGTGTGTCAAGAAGCAGTGCAGCTTGGCAGGGTTGTGTTTCTGAGGACGCATGGCTCTCGACCTTCGCCTCTCCCGAGTCCGTACGGGAGTTGCAGCGATGGAACAAGACTGTAACTACCAATTGGGGAGAAAAAGGGGTAAATAAAATAAAAGACATCAGACAATAACATTCTATTTACAGATGCACTACAATATATATGATTATGCTATTACTCAATTTGACTACTAAGATGTGCTAGACTCCACTGTTTTACTGGTAAGTGTTGTTGTTGGAGCATGTTAGATCACTTTTTAGAACATTTTATGAAAGATAAATTGAAGCACTGCACTGTTAGGCTGCATCCCAAATGGCACCCTACTTCCTATAGTGCACTACATTTGAGGCTCTGGTCAAAAGAAGTGCACTATATAGGGAATAGGTTGCCATTGGGACGAATCCTCAGTCCATAATGCAGTTGTTTTGGGATATTTTGCATGCTGTTCCTTCTCCAGTCTCTGAATTTCTAATGTCCCAGAATAATGTTGCCCCTACAGGTTGCAGAAGGAATCACGTCTGGCCCAGAAGGTAGATTACCCTGCATTTGGAGGCCATGGGAATGGAACAGCCAACAGGACTTCAGTAAGTACATTGTCCTTCATGGGGCACCATACATCCACCTCAGATAAATCAGAGAGGAAGGGGTTTTCTCGTTTGGGCAAAAGTTTATCCTCCGTCCTCTCTCCTTTGTCCTCTCTTCCGTAACCCGGAAACCGATAAGTGTTTGAGGTCGAGGAGTGTGTAAATTCATTAGTAGGTAAATGGAAGAGTGTCCTCCTCTCCACGATAGCCACCTTTCATCAAGGATATTCATTTGTATACTAACGCGGAAGAGTTTTCAAATATGCCACGCCCTTTGAATCAGCTTTTGTTTTGTCAGAGGAGAAAAACATGCACACGTTTAAAAACAACATGCTACTTATTGTTTTATCTATAAAATGTCTTGCACAACAAACTTAATTTGTTTTGAGCACTTTACACATTTATTTTGGGATCCATCCCTGTAAACGTAATTTGTCTAGTGGAGAAGGACAGTGTCGTTTCAAGCAAGCGCTTTTTCATCCATGTTCACGCTCCTTGCTGACTGTCATTTAACTTTGACCCTTTTCAAAAGGAGGCGAGAGAGAGCGGAGGAGATGTGAACAAATCGAATTGATAAAAGGCAGAAAATGTGAAGCGGGAGGACTGAATCTCTCTCGCCTCTCATAGACGCCCCAAAATCTGTCAGTGCGAATAAAGCATGAAACAGACAAGTGGGGAATTTTTGTATGGAGGTCTATGAGAGAGTGTAAAACTTGATCAACCTAAAAATGAATTGCTAATTGAGGTTTATTTGATCGAATAGAAGTTTCATAATGTTTAGGTTGTTACGAATGTACTGAAATAAGTGGACGCAGGTGGCATCCTGGCAGTTTTAAATCGGAGTTGTGCCTGTTGTTCACATGCGTATCTGCCCTCTCATTAGCTAGAATGTTCCTACCTCCTCCCACCTGCCTTCCACCTTTGCAGACATGTATACCCATTGTAAGAGCAGACAGTCCAATATCTCAATACAGTGCATTCGGAAAGTATTCAGACCCCTTCCCTTTTTCCACATTTTGTTACGTTACAACCTTATTCTAAAATGGATTAAATAAATAAAGAATCCTCATCAATCTACACACAATACCCCATAATGACAAAGCGAAAACAGGTTTTTAGAAATATTTGCAAATTAAAAACAAAAATACCTTATTTACATAAGTATTCAGACCCTTTGCTATGAGACTCGAAATTGAGCTCAGGTGCATCCTGTTTCCATTCATCATCCTTGAGATGTTTCTACAACTTGATTGGAGTCCACCTGTGGTATATTCCATTGATTGGACATTATTTGGAAAGGGACACACCTGTCTACATAAGGTCTCACAGTTGACAGTGCATGTCAGAGCAAAAACCAAGCCATGAGGTCGAATAAATAATCCGTAGAGCTCCGAGACAGGATTGTGTTGAGGCACAGATCTGGGGAAGGGTACCAAAAAATGTCTGCAGCATTGAAGGTTCCCAAGAACACAGTGGCCTCCATCATTCTTAAATGGAAGAAGTTTGGAACCACCAAGACTCTTCCTAGAGCTAGCCGCCGGCTAAACTGAGCAATCGGGGGAGAAGGGCCTTGGTCAGGGAGGTGACCAAGAACAAGGTGGTCACTCTGCCAGAGCTCCAGAGTTCCTCTGGGGAGATGGGAGAACCTTCCAGAAGGACAACCATCTCTGCAGCACTCCACTAATCAGGCCTTTATGGTAGAGTGGCCAGACGGAAGCCACTCCTCAGTAAAAGGCACATAACAGCCTGCTTGGAGTTTGCCAAAAGGCACCTAAGAGACTCTCAGACCATGAGAAACAAGATTCTCTGGTCTGATGAAACCAAGGTTGAACTTTTTGGCCTGAATGCCAAGCGACATGTCTGGAGGAAACCTAGCACCATCCCTACGGTGATCATGCTGTGGGGATGATATTCAGCGGCAGGGATTTGGAGTCTAGTCAGGATCGAGGGAAAGATGAACTGAGCAAAGTACAGAGATCCTTGATGAAAACCTGCTCCAGAGCACTCAGGACCTCAGACTGGGGTGAAGGTTCACCTTCCAACAGGACAACGACCCTAAGCACAGAGCCTGGACTTGAACCCGATTTAACGTCTCTGGAGAGACCTGAAAATAGCTGTGCAGCTATGCTCCCCATTCAACCTGACAGAGCTTGAAAGGATCTGCAGAGAAGAATGGAAGAAACTCCCCAAATACAGGTGTGCCAATCTTGTAGCATCATACCCAAGAAAAGTTGAGGCTGGAATCGCTGCCAAAGGTGCTTCAACAAAGTACTGAGTAAAGGGTCTGAATACTTATGTAAATGTCATATTTTATTTATTTATTTTTAATACATTTGCAAAAATGTCTAAAACCTGTTTTTGCTTTGTCATAATGGGGTATTGTGTGTAGATTGATGAGATATATATATATATTAATCGATTTTCCAATAAGGTTGTAACGTAACAAAATGTGGAAAAAGTCAAGCGGTCTGACTACTTTCCAAATGCACTGTATATATCAGTGGTGGCCTGTGCCGTTTAAGATGAGGGAGGAAGATGAGGGAGGACGCTTGTGGACTTCAGTGCACAACACATCAGCTGTCTGTGACCAAGCGAAAAAACCTTTCCAAGCCAAACCATCATATCATAACCACTAACCCCTACACACAGCCTACATCATTGTCACCATAGCTAACGTCAAGTCAACATAGCTACTAGAACTATCGCATTAGTAAATCCACTACATGCAGTACAGTGTACAGTTAGCAAGCAGTTTAGCAGTTACACCTGCGGGCCCCAGTGGAAATACATTTGATAAAACCAAAAGCTTACCTTGACTTGGAAGAGTTCCAGTGTTGGATAGCCATAGCCAGCTAGGTAACATAGATTCCCTCTCTGTTTGCGTTGGGTGTTTGAGTAGGCTAAACTAGCTAGCTGCATTCACTAGCTAAGTAAGTGAAAGTGAAAGAAAAAAAGTATATATAGCTTGCTCTCTCTCTCTATCTTTCTTGCTTCTCCTTCATTTTAGAATAAATTTTCAATAACTTTTCAACTGTTGTCTTTCTCGTTTGAGTCAACTACTCATGACATTTTATGCACTGCAGTGCTAGCTAGCTGTAACTTATGCTTTCAGTCCTAGATTCATTCTCTGATCTTTTGATTGGATGGACAACATGTCAATTCATGCTGCAAGAACTCTGATAGGTTTGAGGACGTCCTCTGGAAGTTGTCATAATTACTGTGTAAGTCTATGGAAGGGGGTGAGAACCACGAACATCCTAGATTTTGTATTGAAGTCAGTGTACCCAGAGGAGGACGGAAACTAGCTGTCCTCCGGCTACACCATGGTGCTACCCTACAGAGTGCCGTTGAGGCTACTGTAGACCTTCATTGCAAAACAGTGTGTTTTAATCAATTATTTGTTGACGTGAATATATTTAGTGTAGTTTTATCTAAAAAGGATAACTTTTCTAATGTTTCTCTATTTTAATTTTTATTAAATGGTCCTCCCCTTCCTCCTCTGAGGAGCCTCCACTGATATATCAATCTTGAACAGGATTAGGCCTATCTATTTTGGATGCAATTTGAATGGAATTGATGGAGAGAGAGAAAGACTGTGAGAGAGTGCTCGCGTGCGCACTGATTTAAAACAACGATATTCAAGAGTTTTAAAACTCTGCAGCTGCAATTTTTTAAAAAAATGCATCTTTACAATGAAAAACTAAGGTGACCTCCAAAAGCCAGATGGAGATGTGTGGAAAAATGAATGGTGGAAAAAATATTGGAACCATTTCACTGTTTGACCACTAGGTTTTACGGGTATTATGACACCTCCACTGTGGGGCTGTAGAGGCTATGCTGCAGCAAATGTCGTCCTACCTTTCGCAAGAAATAAAGTTACCATGATGAAATAATACCTGCATTGTGATCTGTGCTCCATACTGATGCGCTGTCTGTCCCCACCCTGAGCATTGATAGAAGAGTAGGCCGTGGCCTGTAGAGCAGTGGAGGCTCCTCAGAGGAGGAAGGGGACGACCATCCTCTTCAGTGAATTGTATAAAAATAAAAATAGTGAAACATTAAAAAAGTTATCCTTTTTAGATAAAACTATACAAAATATATTCACGTCAACAAATAATTGATTAAAACACACTGTTTTGCAATGAAGATCTACAGTAGCCTCAACGGCACTCTGTAGGGTAGCACCATGGTGTAGCCGGAGGACAGCTAGTTTCCGTCCTCCTCTGGGTACATTGGCTTCAATACAAAACCTAGAAGGCTCAGGGTTCTCACCCCGTTCCATAGACTTACACAGTAATTATGACAACTTCCGGAGGGCGTCCTCCAACCTATCAGAGCTCTTGCAGCATGAACTGATATGTTGTCCACCCAATCAAAGTGGACTTACTAATGCGTTAGTTCTAGTAGCTATGTTGACTTGACGTTAGCTATGGTGACAACGATGTAGGCTGTGTGTAGGGGTTAGTGGTTATGATATGATGGTTTGGCTTGGATAGGTTTTTCCGCTTGGTCACAGACAGCTGATGTGTTGTGCACTGAAGTCCACAAGCGTCCTCCCTCATCTTCCTCCCTCATCTGAAAAGGCACAGGCCACCACTGATATATACAATGCATTTGGAAAGTAGTCAGACCGCTTGACTTTTTCCACATTTTGTTACGTTACAGCCTTATTCTAAAATGTATTCAATTGTTTTTTTCCCTCATCAATCTACACACAATACCCCATAATGACAAAGCAAAAACAGGTTTTTATAAATTTTTGCAAATGTATAAAATAAAATAAACTGAAATATCACATTTACATAAGTATTCAGACCCTTTACTCAGTACTTTGTTGAAGCACCTTTGGCAGCAATTACAGCCTCAAGTCTTCTTGGGTATGACGCTACAAGCTTGGCACACCTATATTTGGGGAGTTTCTCCCATTCTTCTCTGCAAATCCTTTCAATCTCTGTCAGGTTGGATGGGGAGCGTTGCTCCACAGCTATGTTCAGGTCTCTCCAGAGATGTTCGATCGGGTTCATGTCCGGGCTCTGGCTGGGCCACTCAAGGACATTCAGAGACTTGTCCCGAAGCCACTCCTGTGTTGTCTTGGCTGTGTACTTAGGGTTGTTGTCCTGTTGGAAGATGAACCTTCACCCCAGTCTGAGGTCCTGAGCGCTCTGGAGCAGGTTTTCATCAAGGATCTCTCTGTACTTTGCTCCGTTCATCTTTCCCTCGATCCTGACTAGTCTCCCAGACCCTGCAGCTGAAAAACATCCCCACAGCATGATGCTGCCACCACCATGATTCATTGTAGGTGGCAGGTTTCCTCCAGACGTGACACTTGGCATTCAGGCCAAAAAGTTACATCTTGGTTTCATCAGACCAGAGAATCTTGTTTCTCATGGTCTGAGAGTCTTTAGGTGCCTTTTAGCAAACTCTAAGTGGGCTGTCATGTGCCTTTTACTGAGGAGTGGCTTCTGTCTGGCCACTCTACCATAAAGGCCTGATTGGTGGAGTGCTGCAGAGATGGTTGTCCTTCTGGAAGGATTTCCCATCTCCACAAAGGAACTCTGGAGCTTTGTCTGAGTGACCATCAGGTTCTTGGTCACCTCCCTGACCAAGGCCCTTCTCCCCCGATTGCTCAGTTTGGCCAGGCGACCAGCCTTAGGAAGAGTCTTGGTGGTTCCAAACTTCTGCCATTTAAGAATGATGGAGGCCAATGTGTTCTTGGGGACCAATGCTGCAGACATTTTTTGATACCCTTCCCCAGATCTGTGCCTCAACACAATCCTCTCTTGGAGCTCTACGGACAATTCCTTTGACCTCATGGCTTGGTTTTTGCTCTGACATGCACTGTCAACTGTGGGACCTTACATAGACAGGTGTGTGCCTTTCCAAATCATGTCCAATCAATTGTATTTACCACAGGTGGACTCCAATCAAGTTGTAGAAACATCTCAAGGATGATCAGTGGAAACAGGATGCACCTGAGCTCAATTGCGAGTCTCATAGTAAAGGGTCTGAATACTTATGTATATAAGGTATTTCTGTTTTTTATTTGTAATAAATGTGCAAACATTTCTAAAAACCTGTTTTCGCTTTGTCATTATGGGGTATTGTGTGTAGATTGATTAGGGGAAATTTAATTTAATCAATTTTAGAATAAGGCTGTAACGTAGCAAAATGTGGAAAAAGTAAAAGGGTCTGAATACTTTCCAAAGGCACTTTATCAAAGGCTATGTATTGGATAATGGCACAATCATTTGGGCTTTTTTGGGCTTGGGATCATAAAATGTCTTTAATGTAGGGCTCATCAGGCTCAGGCTGCATCAGGCAAAGCTCTAATCAAATCCATACATATGTACAGTATATGCTTTACAGTATATGCTTTATAATGACACTTCCAGTTTTGGCGGGAAATACCAGGTTACCCAGGAGAAAAGTGATTTATTCTTGGGATGGAACATTTGTAAAATACTGGGAAAATATTCAACCCTTTTTTTCATGTGCCTCTCCTCTCCTCTTCCCTTTCCTCCTCAGTCGGGGGATAAGAAGTTGGCCCAGAGTGCTCAGATGTACCACTATCAGCATCAGAAACAGCAGATGCTATCCATGGAAAAGTGAGCTCTACTCCTCCTACTGTCACTTTCAGTCTCTCTCTCTCTCTCTTTCTCTCTTTCATTCTTTCTTTCTTTTTCTCCCACAATTCAGTTCCACTCAAATATGAATAAATACACATATTCATCCTGGTGCATTCTGTTGTTTCTCAGTCATAAATCGGAACCGAAAGTCACTGACTCAGAAGTCACATCAGATGAGGAGGAAGTGGACGGAGACTTCACTGTGTACGAGTGCCCTGGACTGGCACCGGTGGGTGTGCTACTACTACACACACACACACACACACACACACACACACACACACACACACACACACACACATAATATATGCACACAAATTATTGTTTAACACACAATATTCACATTGATGATGACTTTGTTTGTGTTTGGCTTTTAACAACAACGTTTTTGTTTCATTGCAGACTGGAGAGATGGAAGTGAAGAATCCTTTGTTTAACGACTCTACCCTACACTACCAGGGGAATCCCAAGTGAAACCCATAGATTTTCATGCATGCACACACACACACTATTTCTTGTACTCTGGAAAAGGAGCACCTGAACACTCCAATCTCAGAACTGGATGGGCTTATAGAAGAAGGGATAGAATAGGAGATGAAGAGGCAGGAGGTTGACAGATTATCTGTATGTATATGGTATCTATAGATCAGTCACAGCCCTTGTGGACTTCTATGGGAACTACAGCCATGCGTGAAACTCAACACATATGTCTCTAATGGCACCCTACTCCCTATGTAGTGCACTATATAGGGTATAGGGTGCAATTTGGGACATAGATAACCTGCCTGTATCGTAGGACTTGGTCACTAGTAGGGTGTTTCTATCATACAACATGTCTAGTCCCCTGTCTTTTCCAGTAAAAGACACAGTGTTCCTTTGAATATAGTTTTGTTGTTTCATTTCTTTGCACCTTTCCTTCGTCTTTTGAGCTCGTTTGTAATTTAATCTCACAACGAGAACATTATTATGGGAAATAGATGTTTACATTGCCAAAGTAAATGAAATAGACAATAAACAAAAGAGAAATAAACAAGAGAAATACACAATCAGAAATTGACAGTAAACATTACTCACAAAAGTTTTTAAAGAATATAGACATTTCAAATGTTATATTATTGACACAGTGTTGTAACAATGTGCAAATAATTCAAGTACGAAAGGGAAAATAAATAAACAAATAAATAAATAGGTTGTATTTACAATGGTGTTTGTGCTCCACTTATTGCCCTTTTCTTGTGGCAATAGGTCACAAATCTTGCTGCTGTGGTGGCACACTGTGGTACTTCACCTAATAGATATGGGCGTTTATCAGGATTGGATTTGTTTTCAAATTCTTTGTGGGTCTGTGTAATCGAAGGGAAATATGTGTCTCTAATATGGTCATACATTTGGCAGGAGGTTAGAAAGTGCAGCTCGGTTTCTCTCTCTCTCTCTCTCTCTCTCTCTCTATCTCTCTCTCTCTCTCTCTCTCTCTCTCTTAGAATCAGTGTTTCCATTGCTTGCCTTTGTAATGTTCATTATCTCCCAAAGCCTCTGTTTGAATGTGGTAGAATGACCTAACATATATAGCACACAGAACACAAATATGTGCAGACACACACACACACACACATCAATTCATAATAAAACATTCCCTTCCTCTATTGGTCATGCATAGCTAGTAGCTATACCCACTTCCTTATACTGTACGTACTGGTACATATAAAGGGGTTTTCCTGAAATGTGCTTGGCATTTGGTTAAGGAGCAAGAGGAACACAAGGGGACACTGTCATGATATACTGTGATATAATATTTTAAGTACTCTTTTATGGATGCGAAAAATCTACGTCACATATTTGTGATGTCGGTTCTTATCATTTGGTGTAGCAAATTTTAACTTGTTAAATCATTATTGTAGATTTAAGAAAGTAGATTCGAAAATGTAGTACCAGATGATTTCTGATGCATGGTTTGATTCTGACATGTTTTAATATGATAATAACTTTGATTCGACCTCATATGTGTAACTGGAGGAGACATGTAAAGTAATATGTACACACTTGTATGAATGTCTATAGGATTGATGATCGGTGGAGGATGTTGGTAAATATCACTATCTAGTATTGTTTCTGTTTTATCCCTGTGAGTTCCAACCCTGGTGTTGCAAAATGTGCATAGAAAGAGTGAAATTGTTCACTTTTATATATTTGTACATGCAGGCCTAGCATCTGAATAAAAAAATATTACCACAAGTGAAACTTGCAAAAGGACAATGCATATTATGTATCGCTGTCACTTTATCTTTCACTCTCTCTCCTCTCCTATCTCCTCTCTCTTGCTCACTCTCTCTCTCTATTCAATTCAATTCAAAGGGCTTTATTGGCATGGGAAACATGTGTTTTCATTGCCAGTGAAATAGATAATCAAAACATTACACTCACAAACATTCTAAAGGAATGTCATATTATGGCTATATACAGTGTTGTAATATACAGTGTGTGCACCTCTCTCTCTCCCGCCCCTCTCTCTCTCTCCCACCTCTTTCTCTCTCCCTACTCTCTCCCTCCCTCCTCTGTATCTCCCTCCTCTCTCTCTCTCTCCCGCCCCTCTCTCTCTCTCCCACCTCTTTGTCTCTCTCCCTACTCTCTCCCTCCCTCCTCTGTATCTCCCTCCTCTCTCTCCCTCTCCCTCTCTCTCTCTCCCTCCTCTTGCTCTCTCTCCCTCCTCTTTCTCTCTCTCCCCCTTCTCTGTCTCTCTCTCCCTCCTCTCTCTCAATTCAATTCAATTCAAAGGGCTTTATTGGCATGGGAAACATATGTTTACATTGCCAAAGCATCCCTCCTCTCTCTCAATTCAATTCAAATCAATTCAAAGGGCTTTATTGGCATGGGAAACATATGTTTACACTGCCAAAGCAAGTGAAATAGATAATAATAATAATATGCCATTTAGCAGACGCTTTTATCCAAAGCGACTTACAGTCATGCGTGCATACATTTTTATTTTGTGTATGAGTGGTCCCGGGGATCGAACCCACTACCTTGGCGTTATAAGCGCCGTGCTCTACCAGCTGAGCTACAGAGGACCATAATAAACAATAAACAATCAAAAATGAACAGTAATCATTACAATCACAAAAGTTTCAAAGGAATAGAGACATTTCAAATGTCATATTATGGCTATGTACCGTGTTATAATGATGTGCATATAGTTAAAGTACAAAATGGAAAGTAAATAAACACAAATATGGGTTGTATTTACAATGGTGTTTTTTCTTCACGTGTTGCCTTTTTCTTGTGCCAACAGGTCACAAATCTTGCTGCTGTTATGACACACTGTGGTATTTCACCCAATAGAAATGGGAGTTTATCAAAATTGGATTTGTTTTGGAATTCTTTGTGGGTCTGTGTAATCGGAGGGAAATATGTGTCTCTAATATAGTCATACATTTGGCAGGAGGTTAGGAAGCACAGCTCAATTTCCACCTCATTTTGTGGGCAGTGTGCACATAGCTTGTTTACTCTTGAGAGCCAGGTCTGCCTACGGCGGCCTCTCTCAATAGCAAGGCTATGCTCACTGAGCCTGTACATAGTCCAAGCTTTCCTTAATTTTGAGTCAGTAACAGTGGTCAGGTATCCTGCCACTGTGTACTCTCTGTTTAGGGCCAAATTGCATTCCAGTTTGCTCAGATTCTTTGGTAAATTCTTTCCAATGTGTGAAGTAATTATCTTTTAGTTTTCTCATGATTTGGTTGGGTTAATTGTGTTGCTGTTGCTGTCCTGGGACTCTGTGGGGTCTGTTTGTGTTTTTGAACAGAGCCCCAGGACCAGCTTGCTTATGGGACTCTTCTCTAGGTTAATCTCTCTGTAGGTGATGGCTTTGTTATAGTAGGTTTGGGAATTGCTTCCTTTTAGGTGGTTGTAGAATTGTCACGCCTACTCCCACTCCCCCTCTCGAGCGCTCGACATCGCCTGTCTACTAACCACCGGTCCTTGCAACCATCATCACGCACACCTGCTCCCCATCATTACACACACCTGGACTTCGTCATCACCTTCATTACCTTCCCTTTATTTGGCCCTCAGTAGCCTCAGTCATCAGGCAGTATTGGTTTGTTTTCACGTTCAGTATGTACCTGTGGATGTATTTCAAGGCCTACCTTCAAACTCAGTGCCTCTTTGCTTGACATCATGGGAAAATCAAAAGAAATCAGCCAAGACCTCAGAAAAAGAATTGTACACCTCCACAAGTCTGGTTCATCAGCCAAGACCTCAGAAAAAGAATTGTACACCTCCACAAGTCTGGTTCATCCTTGTTAGCAATTTCCAAACGCCTGAAGGTACCACGTTCATCTGTACAAACAATAGTACGCAAGTATAAACACCATGGGACCACGCAGCCATCAGACTGCTCAGGAAGGAGACTCGTTCTGTCTCCTAGAGATGAACGTACTTTGGTGCGAAAAGTGCAAATCAATCCCAGAACAACAGCAAAGGACCTTGTGAAGATGCTGGAGGAAACAGGTACAAAAGTATCTATATCCACAGTAAAACGAGTCCTATATCGACATAACCTGAAAGGCCACTCAGAAAGGAAGAAGCCACTGCTCCAAAACGGCCATAAAAAAGCCAGGCTACGGTTTGCAACTGCACATGTGGACAAAGATCATACTTTTTGGAGAAATGTCCCCTGGTCAGATGAAACAAAAATAGAACTGTTTGGCCATAATGACCATCGTTATGTTTGGAGGAAAAAGGGGGTACTTGCAAGCCGAAGAACACCATCCCAACCGTGAAGCATGGGGGTGGCAGCATCATGCTGTTGGGGTGGTTTGCTGCAGGAGGGTCTGGTGTACTTCACAAAATAGATTGCATCATGAGAAAGGAAAATTATGTGGATATATTGAAGCAACATCTCAAGACATCAGTCAGGAAGTTAAAGCTTGGTCGCAAATGGGTCTTCCAAATGGACAATGACCCCAAGCATACTTCCAAAGTTGTGGCAAAATGGCTTAAGGACAACAAAGTCAAGGTATTGGAGTGGCCATCACAAAGCCCTGAACTCAATCCTATAGAAAATGTGTGGGCAGAACTGAAAAACCGTGTGCGAGCAAGGAGGCTTACAAACCTTATTCAATTACACCAGCTCTGTCAGGAGGAATGGGCCAAAATTCACCCAACTTATTGTGGGAAGCTTGTGGAAACGTTTGACCGAAGTTAAACAATTTAAATGCAATGCTACCAAATACTAATTGAGTGTATGTAAACTTCTGACCCACTGGGAATGTGATGAAAGAAATAAAAGCTGAAATAAAGAATTCTCTCTACTATTATTCTGACATTTCACATTCTTAAAATAAAGTGGTGATCGTAACTGACCTAAGACAAGGAATTTTTACTAGGATTAAATGAAAAATTAAAACAGAGTTTAAATGTATTTGGCTAAGGTGTATGTAAACTTCCGACTTCAACTGTACAGCCAATTGGAATTTGTT